AAAAAAAAAAAAAAAAAAGAAAAGAAAAAAGAAAAAGGCCGAGAATGCAGCTTAGTAAAAAGGCCCTGAATTCAATCCCCAGGACTACCACACCGCGCGCGTGTGCGTGTGCAAACACACACATACACACACATTAGTGTACCCAAGAGCCTAAGTACCCCGAGGGGCAGAAACATGCATATTTATCAATGTTTATGAAATCCCACACAAGCTGCAGAGACACAGTAAGAGCTGCTGTAAGTGCATTGCACAGTCTGAAACAGCAGCTTTTGTGGGTTGTCTGGAATGTATGCATTTCACATCAAGGCACATGGGGCCTGCAGGCTCACAGCCACCCCAGTCTCAAGTTTGAAGTCAGTCAGCATAGCGTCCAATTGGATGTCTGTGCCCTGTGGCCTCGCTGAGGCCAGGCCAGAAATGGGGGGGGCAGGGAAGGGAGGGAAGGGGGCAGGGCATCCCCATCTAGACAATATTAGGGTGTCTAAGTTGACAACCACTGCCAAGAAGTGCCTGGATTCCCCTCTGTGGTTTCATTTACATAGAAAAGCATAGAGAATCCTGCTAGTTTTAGCACAACAGGGATTTCCAGGAAAAATCTTTATTATAAAATTATTTAAAAAACAGGTGTCTCTTTCAAGTTTATGCTGTGATAGAAGCTAGAACTTCCTACACAGCAGTCTTGCCTGACAGAGTGTCATAGAAAGAAGGCTGCCAATGTGAAACCACTAGCAGTCCAAGGTACTGTCCATTGTGTGGTAAACCCTGCGGTCTCTGGTCCCAGGCGTAGGGGAGGAACTTGAAGTAAGAAGAATCACTGTACTGTAAAACTTGCTTAGGCAATTTGTTTGTTTCCTGATACATTCTCTCAAAATTCAAGGTTCAATGTCATCATCCAAGTAATACCAACTAAGGCACAGCACATTAGCAAACTTTTCAAAACCCCGTAATACTCAATATCAATGTGGAAAAGGCACTGCTGCTTTGTGTGACTGACTACACACCCGCTGGGAGAGGTTAACCATGGGCTCATTTTCTCTCTTCTCATGGACTGTCATTTCCTGTGGGGCTTGGACTACATACTCAGAATTTAGATCCCAACCCACTGTCATGATGGGTAGACATTGAACATTCATGCAAGAAAGGGACTTGTTACTGGTCAGACTTACTGGTGGCCACAACAGTGCTGCCAGAATGGAGCCCGGGGCCCTTCCCTCTTGGGCCAAGGCTTTTGCTCTTACTCCAGGCTCAGCACCATGACCTTGGGTCCCCAGTGTCCCCAGCTCGCTGGTACAGTGAGTAGGACCTGACAGACGCAACACGCTGACTGTCCTGAGGAGCTCTGCCTGAAGTCAGATGTGTTTCTATCACTCTGCTGAGTGGGCAGGCACTGACAAGATACCGAGGGTCTGCTGAGGGAAACGTGACATTACAGGGATGATGTCCCAAAACAGCAACCTGGAAGCAGAGGTCTGAACAGAACCTGGGGTGTACTGCACCGAGGCAGATCAGCCTCAGAGCCCCATGTACAAGGATGACTCAGTGCATTAAACCTTTTTTTTTTTTTTTTTAATGCCTCAGAGGTTTTTCCAAAGCTAGGAGTTCCAGGGCCTCTGTGGTATTACCTCCAGTAACAAGAGTTCAAAAGAACAGAGGCCACAGGAAGACAACAGAAGGGACCCATCAGGACCCTGAGTGGAGCAGCCCATGATTTTTGTCCTTGTTGCCATGTTGCCCCGCTTCCTGTGTTCTCAGTGAAACCTGCCAATTCTAGTGGTGGTTGCTCCTGGGGTCCTAAGCCAAGCCATCAACATAAAAAGGCACAGGCCTTTGGATTCTGAGCGGCTGGAGGAAGTGCAGGGTTCCTGGGAGGCCCGAGCTCTCCTGGTCCAGTGACCCAATCTGGCCTCACCCATGGGTGGTCCTCCAGCACACAGGCCCCCACTGATGCTTAGCCTGTCTCAAGAAGCTGATCTGACCTCAGAGTGCATGAGGGCAGTGACTTTTCTTTTATGCTTAGGTTGGAAAATAAAATTTCTTTTCATTGAGTTTATGGCACTTTTTAGGTCTACAGTACAGTTACATTCATCACTAGGATCTTGTACCTTTACATGATGTGTCTTGATTCTCATTTTTCCCACACCCCTGCCCTCCCTTTACCCCCTCCACTCTTCCCTATTTACAAAGACTTTGTTTCCATTTGGAAAAAAAATTTTTTTTAAGCTTCACAGAAAAGATGACATTTGTGACAAGAGGAAGAAACAGATCTCAGGACAATGAGAAGTCCCTTGACCAACTGAAGCACCATCTTCTCAAAAGTGGGCTTACGAATGACTAACAAACAAAATTACCAATATGAGGGACATAATTCCATTACAGACACTACAATCCCAGCTGCAAATTTTGTCTTGGTGCTCATGATGCATTCTTTCTGCACTGTACCTACCACCCGAGGGCTTACTCTTTGCTAAAGGCTACACTAACAACCTCTTTTCATCCTACCTACCTTTTCAGTGGCTACTATTTTCATCCCTACTTTACTGGAGAGGGAACTAAGGCGTAGGCAGGTGAAGTGGTTTATTAGAAGTAAGAATTTCTTGGGCTGGGGATTTAGCTCAGGGGTTTGGTGGCCTGCCTTGCAAGCGCAAAGACCCAAGTTCAAACCCAGTACCAAAAAAAAAAAAAAGTTAGAATTTCTTACTAGTCCTGCGAAGATGCTAACTCCATCTCCAGTGGGAGCACACAGGAATGTGTTATGTGAATCCTAACAAACACACAAATGCAAGAACTGTCACTAGGTAAGGAATAAGTAAGTTTGCCAAGAAATAACATGACCACATGTATATTGGGTGTTGTTTAATCATTATCTCAACATTCCCAAACCCAAATCCAGAGAAGTAGCTTGTAGTAGTAAACAAGATTTTAAAAAACACTTGTGAGCCGGGCATGGTGGCACATGCCTATGATCCCAGCACTTGGGAGGCCGAGGCAGGAGGATCGCTGTGAGTTTGAGCAGCCTGGGCTACATAGTGAGTTCCAGGTCTGTCTCAACTACCTAGTGAGACCCTGTCTCAAAAAACAAACAAACAACAACAACAAAAAAAAACAAACAAAAAAACTTGTGTACACTGGGGTCT